CGATGAATCCTTCATCGTACCTCGACTGGGAAAGGAAAATTATCCTATTCTTTCAGTGTGGTCAATTCAGCGAGGCCCGGAAAGTGGTCATGGCAACTTTTGAGTTCACAGATTGTGCTGCCCAGTGGTAGGAACAGCTTCAACGTTGCCGACAGTAAAACCTGAGAAATCTTATGGTGACATGGGAGGAGTTACGGAGATTAATGAGGGACAAGTTTGTTCCTGCCTACTATCAAGGGGAACTCTATGAATCCCTGCAAGGAATTCGATAGGGAACACAGAGCGTGGAGGAATTCTTCTGAGAGCTGGAATTGTTGATGATGCACGTCGACGTCAAGGAGGACAGGGAAGCCACGATCGCCTGTTTTCTCCACGGATTAAACAGGAAAATCCGGCAGGAGGTTGAGCTCAGAGCATTCGTCAATTTGGAGGACGTCTTACACCTTGCAATCAAGGTCGAAAACAGCAAAAAACGACAAGAAGGGGGTACTCTAGTGAGCAAATCGAGTACATAGGCCAATGTCAAAGCTAATCCCCAGCAATTACGACTCGATTCAGGAAAATTGAATCCCAGGAACGCTCAACCAACCTCTAATGAACGCTCTGGAGGGATACAGTGCTACAAGTGCCACGGAAGAGGGCACAATGCCAACCAGTGTCCTAACTTGAAGACTCTAGTGATCAGAGACGGCGAGTTTCTCACCGATGACAAGCAAAATTCCAGCGACGAGGAAGTTGATGAGAAAATTGAAGTCGAGCCTCCACCTGGCAAGCTTGTAACTAGTAGTCGAAGGACTTTAACCATTGAAACGCAGCCAGACCTGAGACAAATGGAAAACTTATTTCATTCTCGTTGTTTGGTTGCTGGAAAAATCTTGTCGGTAATCGTTGATGGAGGCAGCTGTGCCAACGTGATCAGCCAGGATGTTGTGGACAAACTCAGATTAAAAACTATCAGGCATCCAGACCCTTATAACCTGCATTGGCTTAACGATTATGGAGCTGTTTGAGTGTCAAGCCAAGCATGAGTGAAGTTTGAAATTGGAGCTTACCGCGACGAGCTCGAATTTGACGTCGACCCGATGCAAGCTGCGCATTTACTTCTCGGGAGGCCCTGGCAATTCGACCGAGGTGTATGCCACTACGGAGGGTCGAACTACTACAAATTTCGACATAATGGGAAGGAGATTCTGCTGAAGCCCCTATCACTGGAAGAAGTCGGAGAAGATCGACGACAGTTTGAAGCCAGTCAACGTCGATCTAAAGGTAACTTAAGAGGTAAGTCCGAATAGGGAGACAATGTCGCCGCTATTGTCACTCGGCGATACATGTTGACGGGGTACAAGAAAGAAAGAAAGATCTGTCGCCGCCGACCCTGCCAACCATTGCCGGAGCAAAGTAGGAGAGAGAGAGTGAATTGGTCGGAGCAACTAGCGAAGAGTCGACCCAAATGGAGAACGCATGCACCTTCCAAATTGCACCAGGAAACTCAAATGAAAGCTGGATTGGGACGAATATACCTGGATTGCTGAATCCAATTCTACCAGAAATTGCTCTGGAAACGAGCCAACTAGACCAAAAATCGAGTCTATGGGTTGAAGCGAGTGGGGATGAATCGAAGCAATTGGTTGATGCAGAATCATTCAGGGTGATCGCAGAAAGCTCTCAGATGCGTCCATTCCACCCAAAGATCCCTCTATCCAAAATGCCCAGTTTTCAATTGGATTTTTTGGATTCAAAGAGTTTGAACTTCGACGATGGCGAGAGGAAGCTGACTTGATTCGAGGTAAGCCTTAGCTTTAGCTTTCGACTTGCCCCTTCCGTTTAACACTCGGGATGCTCTCATAGGCCAATCTCAGTAAAATGGCAATGATTCGACAACGAAATCGATGATTTGAGCCATGAGACACGTCCAGAACTTCAATTCGAAGCAAGAGGAAGCTATTGTTGGCCTTGAATTGCACTGCAAATCCCTGAATGCGAAAGCCCCAATTTTGCACATGAAGAACACTGACCTCGTTTTACCCAATTGAGAGCTGGGGAAGCCAATTTCAAACCCCATTTGGGATCAATTCTGTGAGTCATATGAGGAAGGAAGGACCAAAGCTTTGAGGCCAAAGCTTTTTTATGGGAGAGGGACTGATATGATCCATAATTGGCCCTCAATCAAGCTGGAATTGATTGATCAAGAAGCTCAAGAGGAAGCCCAGAAGAGTGATTTCCAGGTCAATCAAGTTGCTACCTCAACATAATGTCAAAATAATCTTAGTGTTGGAACGAGTTCGGGAAGGAACTTTGGAAGCCTCAATCGAAGGGATGGCATGAGAGTGGAGCTTCAAGAATCATACCTCATGAAAGTAGGTTTCTTCTACTACAACGACATGGCGTTGGATGACTGGAATGAAGAATGGAAGGCCTCGAACGAAAGATCCAAAGATCGTATCGAAGCTGAGTTTCTATCTTTGTAAACCAGGCAATCTGAATCCTTATCGGATTAGGACTCCTTTGCTGTTTTGTGTTTAATTCCTTTTCATTGTTGGTTTTGATTCCCTTTTCCAATTGTAATTTGTTTAGGACTTCTCTAAGAGTAGTATGATTGTCTAGGTCTATTTAAGTAGCTTTAATTCGTTATAATTTTCAGTTTTCAAGTTGAGTTGAATAAACCGTGAGGTTGTGGTTCCATAGCATCTTGCTTTGTGAGTTTGGAGAACTTCCTAGCTGAATCTAGGTGAGTTTTCGAGCTTGTATCGTTCAGTTATTCCCACTGTTCGTGGCCAAGCATCTACCCCTAAGTTTTCGAGCCTCTCTTCCTTTCGAGAAGGTTGCACGAAATCACCATCCCAACACAAGCACAAAACTCTGTTTTTGTGTTCGTTCTTACCGAAGTTCGATTCAATCTTTTGATTGAATCCAAGTTGTGCTTCTCTGATCCAAACTACCCACCTTGGGGGTTATCACCAAGGCTCTTTCCTCGCGAAGTTCGTGCCCTAAGCCTCCAAGATCGTGGTCGCGATCTATGTATCCCGGCCGTGATCTTCAGCTGGACTTCGCGGCTTGTGATCCCGACCGTGATCTTCAGCTTCTAGGCCACGATCTTCATTTCCTGCCACTTTTCTACACTTGTGACCTTGTTTTGTACCTAATTCGCACATATTGACTAATACACCCTAAAATCACATCGAAATCAAATAGGAACGAAATATGGATGTATTTGATGATGTTTAAACATTTAAGCACATAAATTGGCACAAAACATACCTCTATATGTAGGGTAAATAATACCAATTTTGGTATTATCATGAGGCGAAATAAAAGGTGCGCCTCTCGACCTTCTATTATCATACGGATCCATCCGTAAGGCCAATGGGGTGCTACAACGAGGTTCACAAAATTAGTATTGAGACTTGGTTTCGTTAGGAGTGGGAAAAGTGAGCGGGGGTGTTAACATGAATTGTGAAGTGGGCTCAATTCATGGTTCAGTACAGTACATCGCGGTCTAGACCAGACCAAAAGATCAAAATATATTATGATAATAAGGATCATGAACCAAACTAAACCATTATCACAATTTATTATCATAACCAAGTTGTGTGGTCCAGTTTGGTCCATTGTTTTTCAAATGGTCTTATTTATTTTCGATGCCTAGCCGAAACAAAATAATTATGTTTGATGCTCTGAAAATCGAATAATAGAACACTAAAAATTATAAACATATAAGGTGGGTATTAGTTGATTACGTCTAGAACAAGATCAAATTGATATAGGACCAGACCAAAATTAAAGAAAAATTGAAGACATGAACCAGACCAAAAGTATGTTAAATTCATTTGGTTCAACTCAAAGAATCTTCAAGGATGTGCAACTGACTCGGTCGGTTTCTCAGTGCATGAGCCACTTACAGGGAAGTTTCTTTTTTCTCTCTTTCTGCCCCTCGTGTAAGTTTCGTGTCTTTTCGCTCCTTGAAGCTTTCTCAGAGCTGCCCACCAAGTGGAATTACAGGCTCTTTCATCGGGAATCCGGTTGCATACGGATTACCGTTCTTTATTATTATATGTTTTGTATTTTGTTGTCCGGCCATGCCTTGGGGCTTATCTTGGATAAAAAAACTCAATTCAAATGTAATTTTAACGGAAATCGCTAGATTTGTCAAAAAATCATAAAAATTCTGGATATTTCTTGTATTTCAAAAGTGTGTAACGGAAATGGCTTGATTCTTGTATTCAGGAAATCGAGGACAAGGTCGCCAGTGTTTCGTGTATTTCAAAAGTGTGTAACGAAAATGACTAGATTTGTCAAAAAACCATAAAAATTCTGGCTATTTCTTGTATTTCAAAAGTTGTGGCTATAATTGTCACAAACGTGAAATTTGTGGCTATGGAAATGTATTTTGCCTAAAATATTTTTAAAAGTACATTATGACGTGACATCTATGTAGCAAGTGAGACTGAGCTGTCGCTGATGTGTGCGTCAATTTGGCATCCTAGTTAGTGTGTCATTAACCTAACTAACAGAATCTCTAACGCCGTTAAAATTTGTAACATAAATGGCTAAATTTATTAAACAACTATCAAAATTCTCGTTATTTTGTGTATTTTGAAAGTTGTTTTACTATATTTGTTTATGAAAGTTGTGACTATTAAAGTGTATTTTTTCTATTATTTTCCGGCCACTAGAAAGAGGAGCTGATTCGTGTAATTAGATCCTGGGTTAATTGCATGGTTGGTCACTGAAATTACAAAAAACGTTCATGTTTGGTCACTGAAAATATTTAAATCCAATATTGATCACTCAAATTAGTTAAATGGTTCAAGTTTGGTCACTCTCCGTCCAACTCCGTTAAATTTGTCTGATGTGGCAGTCAACCCTCAAAGTTGACCGTTAACTCAGTGACGTGACAATAAAAAATAATTAATAAAATAAATTTTAATCTTTTATCATTTCCAACTCATTTTCACAATAAAGTAAAATAAATAAATAATTATTATAATTATAAATTGAAAATGGGTGATTCCCTTTTGGTCGGCGGCGCATTACAAGACGAAGAAGACCGTGGAGGGGAAGAAGGCGGCGGCGAGGGCGGTGAAGGGGCGGCGGAGATGAAGAAAGAATTCCCAGAAGATCTGATCAATGACATCTTGTCGAGGCTTCCGATCGGCGGTGGACTGGCCGATTCCGCTGCTTCTGCAAATCATGGCGCGCTCTCTTCACAGATCCCTCCTTCATCCTGCGAGATAAATCTGTGGATCCTGGTCTTCAAATCTTGATCAACTCCATCAACGACGACGACGAGAGGTCAGTTTACAGTTTGCACTCTGCCGACACACTCGAGCCACTCCTTCCTTCTTCCACTGTCCAGCTGCCCTTCAACGAAGAGAGGCCCCTCGAAGATGATTATCAGATTTTGAGCCGGTCTATCAAAATTATCCATCTTCCCAAACCAAACATTTATTCCCTTCAGGAGATCTTTTACCTGCCGTCTCCTCTCCTTCTCATCCTCTCGAGCTTCCCCTTCAGACGCAGTTCCAACCATCTATTCCCCATCTTCCTTTCTTTATATTTCCCTTCCTTCTCAGCTTTCTTCTCATAATCACCTATCCAATCCCCAGTTCATCCTCTCGAGTTATGCCCGGCGTACTCCGCCGCCCTCGCCGCCGCCTTCTTCCTTCCACGGTCTTCTTCGTCTTGTAATGCGCCGCCGACCAAAAGGGAATCGCCCCTTTTCAATTTATAATTATAATATTTTTTTTATTTTTTATTTTACTTTATTGTGAAAATGAGTTGGAAATGATAGAACATTAAAATTTATTTTATTAATTATTTTTTAATTGCCACGTCACTGAGTTAACGGTCAACTTTGAGGGTTGACTGCCACATCAGACAAATTTAACGGAGTTGGACGGAGAGTGACCAAACTTGAACCATTTAACTAATTTGAGTGACCAAAATTGGATTTAAATATTTTCAGTGACCAAACATGAACGTTTTTTATAATCTCAGTGACCAACCATGTAATTAACCCATTAGATCCTTTTTCTGATATTTTCGACCGGACTCGACCAGTCCTGCCTTACGGCTCACACTCGTTCTGTTTCTCTATCTGGGTTACCCTCGTGGGTCTCTTTCCTTTCAATTCCCTTGGCAAACCCCAACTTCTTCAATCTAGGGTTTACCTCCCGCTACCATTTTCATCTCTAATCATGTTGGCGCTCTAAGGCTTGAGGCTTTGGTCGAGAGAGGTACAGATTAGCGTTTCGCATTCTCAAGTGTGCCTAATAGAAAGAAAATTATGTATCACCGGGATCGGGGAGGAGCCGGCAGCGTTTCATCGAGATCGGAGCTTGTAGGAGGACCCGTCGATCGGAAGCGCATAAACGATGCGCTTGACAAGCACCTACAGAAATCGTCTCCATCAACTTCGAGGGGCAAGGACAAAGAGAGGTTGTCCGTGCCATCCACATCCGCGGGCAAATCGCAGCTCGATTCTCGACCAGCTTCTCTATCCAAGAACAAGTGCTCCGATGGTAAGTTTTCTGATTGATGCTGGCGAAACAGATTATTGGAATTTTACCTCCATAGGGTCAGTTTTCTGCTTCTCTCGTTCTTTATTAAGCCTGGACCGAACACATTTGCCCACTTTTTTTAGAAATTTTTCTGTTGTTTTTATAAATTTGAATTTTCTGTCAAGATTGCTAATTCAACAGTGGGTAGGAACTAGGGGAGCTGTCATCTTGACTCATGAATTGTTGTTCAACTGCATATCTATGGCTTTAGTGGGTTCCTTTGGAAATGATTCATGCATTGATGAATTGCTGTCATTTTGGCCTCTACACTTTCACGACTCCTCCTTTTCGTTATAGTTCTTCGCATGTAACATAATCATTTTCATGTCGTCTGGAACCTAAAATCCTGTTAGGCGATATTACACTCGTTAGCTTCTTTCAAGTTTCAACAACACATTGTCTAAAGGGCTGAATGGATTGCTAATCCATAACAATGTGGTGACCTTTACTCTTTTTTTATCCATTTCTTATGAGTAGATTACTGTCCTTTGCTCTGCGTCCTTCATGCGTTCAATTAAATCGGAATACTTGCAATTAAGTTGGACTCATAGGATTAGATGAGGAGGAAATATAGAGTCAGTTACTATAGACACAAACTGAATTCATTTATTATGCCTATTTCCTTGACGTTTTGGTTCATCACAACAATAGAAAGCCTACGGCTGCCACTACACATCACTCTTCTTCATGCCTCCTCCATGAAGTTGATGGACTTTTCCTCCTTTCCCTGAGGAGGATAGTGTAGGGTAAGCCTACTTTGATTTCTTTCTCCGGATCGAAACTTGCTTGATCTGATCCTTTGTAAAGAAGCATAGTGAATGAATTCATTTTTTTTCAATTATCGCTCCTCCTCATATAATCTTGTGTGCGACTTAATCAATAGTGTTCTGATTTAATTAGATTCCAGGGGCTGATCTAATTTGAACAGGTTGTTGTGTCATGGCTGGTTGCCAGTTGATATCCATCTCTCTCTTCTATTGTTATGAAGTTGGAGCTTTAACCATTACATTCCTGACATGGCTAATATTTGGTGAACTGCAGAGGAATCTGAGACGGATAGTGAAGAGTCAGATGTAAGTGGTTCCGAGGGGGATGACACATCCTGGATATCATGGTTCTGCAATCTTCGAGGAAATGAATTTTTCTCTGAAGTGGACGATGAATACATTCAAGATGATTTTAATCTTTGTGGGTTGAGCAGTCAAGTTCCGTATTATGATTATGCACTTGATCTTATATTGGACGTGGAATCTTCTCACGGTAAGCTTTGCTGAATTCGTGAGGTTCATTTCTAACATATGAGTTTCAATTTTATTGTTTCTGTCAGCTATTCTAGGAGTAACTGAACTTTACCAATTTATATTTTACCCTTGCTAACCTGCAGCAGTGCCCAGTACTCAAATGCGAAATCATATTCTATTGTGTGTAGTTGCAAGAATACTTTGTTAATTTCCTTTCTCCTATTTTCTTCTTCTTTGGGTTGCATAACCTTGGTCCTTGGACAAGCTGTGTAAGTAGTGCGTGGCCATTTGTAGTGAACTTATTTTCCTGACACAGAATCATTAAGTAAATCCATTAGTGGGACTTGCCCTACTTGGTTTTTGTGCTTGATCTAAACATTGCTGCAAAACGATATAAGTTAATAGGGTGGTTTGGACTTACGAGGCTTGATGTGGAAACAAATAACATATTCTTGGGCTGAGACTTAAAAGGTTGGTTTAGCGCAGAAGATACTCTCTTAAGCAGAAAAACAACTTTTGAGTTTGACCTCTTCTCTTCCTTCTTTAAATCACTGTCTTGGTTTGTCTGCTATTCTCTTGTGATGCGAGTGTTGATCTGGGTGCAAATGCCCCCGCCGTCCCCTGCCTCTTTTTCCTTTCTCTTTTTGGGCTCTCACCCCACATTATATTTATCGCCTATGATGGGTTGTTGTGCAGGTGATATGTTCACTGAAGAGCAGAACGAGTTGGTGGAGTCAGCAGCAGAGATGCTTTATGGTCTAATTCACGTGCGTTATGTTCTCACTAGCAAGGGCATGGCTGCAATGGTATAGGCTTTTTGCTGAATTATTATCCTCCATACCTTTTATTTTTCAGTTTTCCTTCTCCTGGGTTTAGTTGCAAGTTTGGTTGTGCAAAAACACGTACAGCTAGAGAAGTACAAGAACTACGACTTCGGGAGATGCCCTAGAGTTTACTGCTGCGGGCAGCCCTGCCTTCCAGTTGGCCAATCCGATATTCCTCGTTCAAGTACTGTTAAAATTTACTGCCCGAAATGTGAAGACATTTATTACCCTCGATCAAAGTATCAAGGCAGTATCCTTTGTTATTATTTGACAATTGTTCTTTCGCTTTTTGTTTCTGTGCCACTTTTGCTTTTTGTGCTGCGTATCTTGCTGGAAAATTGGTTTGCTGTATTCTCTTAACGTATGCACAGACCTTGATGGAGCATACTTCGGGACAACATTTCCTCACCTATTTCTGATGACGTATGGACATTTGAAGCCACAGAAGGCAACACAGAGTTATGTACCAAGGGTTTTTGGGTTCAAGCTCCACAAGTCCTGAGTTCAGGAAGAGGCAAGCCCCTGAGGTTCACTTGAGGTCGGGTTCTCTTTCAGCTGCTGAAGTGACCGAGATTGTTTTTCCCAGCAGGCACCTCGGGCGAACGGGTTAGTAACTTGCTCAGTGGTGGTGGAACAGATAATGGGTTGCCCAATCAGAATGGGAGACTTTTGTGCTATTTGTTTAATTTAACTTATAAGCATTTGTAATATTTTAGTGTTTGTAGTTTGTACCATCTTCTTTTGCTCAAAATGAATCTTATTTATTACTCTCTGTTTCTGTTTCTGTTTCTGTTTTTGTGGGGTTTATTATGTTGAGCTGAGAATTGTATCAGAAGTGAGTTGCTACGTAGGGTTTTCAGCTCTCACGGCCTGCCATTTCTTTTCCATTCCATCTGTTTTTGTGATGTCTGTTTAATACCACTATAACACTCGAGCAGTAAAAAATATGCTACTTGTGTCCTATTTTTCATTTTATGATACTTTTGTGTCATTTGTATCTACTGCTTTACGTTGACCATTAGAGATATTTTAACAATATCTCTAGAGATAATGGTTAACAATAACAGATGATGGCGTTGACCATTAGTAGGGGTGGGATTCGGTCGGTAAACAATTTACCGTTTATCGAATTTACCGGTTTCGGTATACCGAAATTGGCCAAACTGGTTACCGATTACTGATACCGGTTTGTAACTGGTTTACCGATTACCGAATTACCGGTAAACGGTTACAAACCGGTATTACCGAAATACCGTGAGAAGCGATTTTGGGCGGTTTTTCGGTCGATTTACCGAATATTTACCGAACCGAATTTCTGGAAGTGGGGTGATGTTGTAATATTTTGATTTTTTTGAGTTTTTTTCATCATTTTTGTAATTAATAATTTATTATTAACTCTTATTTACAATATATTTTAGGCCTATACTTACATTCATGTATGTAATATTTTATTTTTTTGGGGTAAAGCAACAAAACGCAGTGTAGCACTAGGGAGTAGGGAGGGGGGGGTTCGGTATCGGTAATACCGATTTATCGTCGGTATTTACCGATACCGTGTCCGGTAAACCGACTCCCCCAACTTCCCGCTTGGCTGCCGATACCGCCGGTAAACGGTTCGGTAAAACGGTAAACCGTTTAC